AGATCCGTTTCCAGTCATGGCACTGGAATTACTTATAAACATTGAAGTAATCGCACTGCAGTACGGTAAGTATTCATAGCTGCATAGGGCCGTTGACGCAGCGCAACTCGAAATGACACCACCAAAAGCGCATGGAAATGGTCAACACAAGTCAGGGGGTTAGTGATTGGCAAATTATAGCTGATTGAAGTTGACACTAATACGAGATCGAGTTTATTTCCCGTGAAATTACTTTGTTCAGGCCCATTAAAATAAATACAGTGAAACAGGCTCGATGCTTTCAGGCTGGTGACATTACAGCCAGTGAATTCCAAGGCCATTAAAATCCCCGCATATCCCCAGCTCGTCGATTTTGTTGCAAAGCTTGGCAACAACCATGTGAAGATTGGCCTCGGTAACGGGCGATTCATCGTTGGTGTGCGAACCAATTTCTTCGATTGAAGTTGACGAGTAGACGCCACCTACCTTCGTTTCCTGCGAGCCCAGACGCTTCACACACGTAGAGCACTTCTAGCTTCTGACGCCGTTCACCACCGAGCAGGTCGCAGTCCTCTTCAAAAACGTTAATGCATTTGCAGTGAAATCTGCGCTTGCAGGTCCCGGAGAAAACAAGAAACTGTTGCCTTCCATAGAAGGGGACGGAGCAGCTCCTGTACACATCCTTACTGCCCGTCATTCCGAGAAGGCATGACGGGCAGTATTGACATGTGACCGTCAGAAACGGTCAGACGGTCAGAAACACTGTGACTGACCAATATTTTTGTCTACGTGATTAAGAAATATTTCCAGATGTTTATTGCGTTTTAAATATTCGTGTTATTTACCTCTAAAATAAATCGCAGAGATAAAATGCAATCATTTTTTCCCGTAGGAATGCATCACCCTACGGCAATTTAGACTGGTTCCTTTCTACTTAAACGTGTAACGGCTCACCAGCGCCAGCTGAACCTTTAGCGCACAATATAATAACCCTAAGGTCGAGAGGTATCGCCCGAGGGTTACTCTTCCGAATATTTGAACACCGCTACCGCTTCGCTCGTTACCCGCTAAACTGTCTCGTGTATACGGAAAAGCCTTAGCTCGCGCGTTCCAGCTCATATCTCCGGTTTTTCTGTGTGTACCCCAGACACTCTATTCATTCAAGGTGCATTTGCTTCAATGTTCGTATACTGACGATGCTCCTGATTTAGGAACCTTCTCTTATATTAATAACAATGTTTATTTTCTGTCAAAAAACGTATGACGGAGGGAGACCGAGAAAAAAAAAAAGCTGAATCATGCAGCTTGACAGGTTCTCGGCCCCCCTCCTTACATATTTCATAAACCTATAAACTCAACATAAAATTGATGTAATTTTTTATTTTGCTATGTATCGGGTTTGTAATATTCATTACGCAGCTGAAAGCCACTAAAAGTGAAACAGAAACCCGATTCAAAACTGGTGGCCAGTCGTCTTCAAAAACCCGCCAGAAACATTTGTTATGTATATTTTTTTCTCAAATGCATTTCTGTGGTTTCCCGTGTGTGCTCTTGCGAACAGACGTACTATAAAAAATAAAACGGCAGTAGCAGGTGCCACTTTTTGTTTCTTGATTTTTTTTTTTTCGACAGATTTTTTTATTCGTTCTTCATTTGCGTACGTAGCTCTTTAGATAATAATTGATTTTTTATGTCAATGGTGGTGTCCCGGAGAAAGATTAAAAAAGGGAGTGTACGAAAATTGCAGTACCGGTTTGTGACGAAACAGGTTGCAACAACAATGTATCAATCAAGCCAAGAGCGGAGATATAACTCTAAAGTAGAAAACCAATTGCGAAGTTAATTGCCTTAAGCTTGCAAGCATTCAATTGGCCCCTAAAGGTGACTCGTGATGCTGGTGGGGAGGAAAACCATATGTCAAGCGACAACTGCGTTGTTGTTTTTTCTCCCTCCCCCTCTTCACTGGAAATAAACAATAAAGTTTAAAGTCAAGAATAGAGATAGGATTTATTTTGAGGAAAACGTGCCACACCTCATAAGTTAGGCGACATGTTTACGAACCTCAGCATCGAACGCTCAGGGGCGTGTGTCTGCCATCAAACTAAAACGCGGCAGCTGAAATGCCAACAACACATGAGCCCTCCTTGTTCATTCATCCTTTATGACATTCTCTTTCACGGCGCAATTTCTAGGTCACCAAAATGCAATGAGAGCGACAATGACAGCTTAAGGTCGCGTAACTGCGCATCAAAACGGTCACGGCTTGATGTGGTTTTTGGTGGAGTGTCTATGAGACGTGTGTCGCCTTTCCTGATTTCACCACAAAAATAAAAAATTACGTTGCTCCTTGTCAGCGATGAAACTTATATTATTATCAACCCTAGATCAGTTACATCCAGAACTATTGTGCTCTACTCAAATCGTTCTTCCACAGAAGGTAATCAACTTAATGCTACTCTAAATATCATAGTAAATGCATTTCTTATCTTATATACAATAGTTTTAAGCTTCTTGTAGAGCAAAGCAGTTGTCATAGACAACCGCTCACCGTGCGTTCTTTTATGTGGGGAGAGCGTGTGACCAATTTGATCACTTAGGTGATACAAACCAAGCCGAAATCACATCCCGTTTTGACTTAATTGTAACTTTTTTTTTACCAAGCAATTTATTTGGGGATGCTTAGTGCTCCTATTTTAACTGAGTTTACTTTCCGCAGAAAAACACTTGTTTACGGAAAGCAATTACTGCAGGATGCTTCAGGTAACAAGCTCAAACTGAGATGGCCAATTATTTGTAGGGTGGCGCAAGCGAATTGTCTGCTGTATAAAACTAGCTGGAACATCCGACGCCTGCACATAACTAAGCTCTAACGTTCACTAAATGTGCACGCACTGGGCAGGTAATTTTTATTCTTTGAAACTTCAGGGCATCGTTCTCTTTCGAGTAAAATAAATGAAAACCGAAAACGTGTCAAATTCAAGTTTAGGTGCGTTCGCAAACGACCTATGTATAGCGATGCTACAAAACCTAGATTGAAGAGAGGGTCCTTCTCGAGTTAGAGTGAGCGTTTGCAATTTAATGGAAGACACCTCCTGTAGCAATCGGTCGCAAATGCGCATGCGCATGTTTTCGAAAAGGAAAGGCGGAGACGTTGGCAGACGATCAACACTTATGTCACTCCCTAGCAGCTCCTATCGCAAACGCGGCCCGTGAACCACGTGACCCCGAAAATGCAGTTGAAAACTATGTAATAGACCCTCTTCGGAACTGCGAAATGATGCCTAGATTATGCGCAGTCGAAAACCGCCCCGGTGGGCGCAGCAAGACGACAACAGATTGAGTGCGTCGTCTGCTTGCTGAACCTTGATAGAATTGCGTCGCTAACTCGGTCTTCTGCAAACGTGCCCAACCTTCACTTTGAAAAGCTTTTTGCTGTCATTTTTTGCAGGAAACGAACAACGCCTTAGAAATATACGCAGTAGAACTGACTTGTTCACTGCGCATTCGGTGAAAGTTATGGGAATGTCTTTGATGCCTACCGTCTCGGGGATTGACACACCACACAAGTTGAACAACACATAGACGTTTAATGCCCGTTATCGCCCGTGGCACGGGCGATAACGGTCATTAACGTATAAGCAGATTTTTTGTGTGTATAAGCACAAAAATACCCTTATACGCACATTTTTTTTTATTTCCGTGATTCAACTTTACTGGGTTAGTTGGTGTCTGAGCGGCAGCATTCCGTGATTACACCCGGGGTGTCTGCTCACTGCGTCTATTGCGAGATGGCGCCACAAGTTATATGCATCGCTAACTCTGTAGTCTGTGACCATGTCCACCCCTGACCCTGGCAAACTTTTAGGATTCATTTTTTATAGATAAAAATAGACGGCCCGGGCGTTTACAAGGTGAAATCTACAATCTAAAAGCGCCGAATTTTTCGCTTTGTTTTACGGCGTTGTCATCTTTGTGTCCACCCTATACCATATAATATCAAATAAAAAGACAGAAATACTTTAAAATAGCACAATATTATAGATTTCGACATATTTATTCATCCGTAAGCAGAAACTGCGCCTAGTGCTAAGAGAAAAAAATGTGCCAACTTTAGTTCGTGAAAGAAAGCAGTAATATTTTTTGCTCTTAGTATAATTTATCAATAACAATAAAAAGTTGACATTTTCTCGTCAGTAATCTAGTCTCCATAAGAGAGTAAATAAAATCTTTACTGGGCGCAGGACTTCCCTCATTTCCGCTGCAGTAAATTTGTGAAATATTCCTCACATTAAACGTTTTAAATCATTCTGAAGCTCGCTACCTGTAACAATACAATCACTATCCATACACTAGCACCTGGATTTCTCGATGACTTATTTGAGTTTTGCTTCACCTCAGTTTCACTACTCTCGCAATCGCTAGGTTCGTACATTATTTGCTTATATTCGCGTGAGCACAACAGGTCAAACAAAAAGTCGCAGCACGGCTTGGCCTTCTTCAGAGCCTTCTGAAACATCCACAATTCGCAGGCCTGAAATGTTTCTGAAAAATAAAATTGTTTTAATTTATTAGTTCTTAGATTCGTAGACCTAACCAAATTGAACTCACTGAACCTCACTACGCTCTGCTAGGGAGTTTACGTGTAGGCTGTTCCCGAGTGCCCACTCTAGTATTTCGTTTATAATGCAATTATATGCAAAGGTGCAAGCGAGCTGGACAAGAATGAAGAAAATAATCCTAATTTGTGTTTGCCCTTTGTCCCCCTTGTTTCCCTTCCCCAGGAATTATTTTCGTCGTAGTATTTTGTATTGAAGATTTGTTGTAAAGCCTGGTGTTTTTGTATTATGTAGCTTATTTGTTAGAATTGCTTTTTTCAAGTTATGAATATTTCATCAGTGGACTGAGTAGAGTCTTAAAACGACGATAGGCAATATACAACAGCTTTTTGTTGTTTTGTAGTCAAAGGAATCACGACACGAAATAAAATGTTACCGTATCTTTCCGGTGAAATTTGCCGAACATTATATCTCTGTGTACATTGTACAGGTTCCTTTAACACCGCAAATAAAGGTGAAAACGATACACGGAAAGCTGCAATACTTGCCGTTACTCCAGTTATGCTTCCGTACGACAGCGCAGTCTTTGTCAGCAAATAAGAATGTATAATAAAAGGTTTCGTCCACTAAAATAGAAAAATGCAAGTGTGTAAACAGCAACAAATTTATTAGTTTCTCGCTACACGTTATGCTAAGAGAAGTAAATGATAAAGCACAAAAGAGAGAAGAACGAAAGGGGTGAACATTTTTAATGGACTGGTATTGTCATGCGTTCATCGATTTTGTTTCAGTTACTCCCCAAGTTTTTTTTATTAAATTGAGCGCGTCTACAGACAAATATTTCTGAGGTGTGACAGTCGAAAGGGCAGTCTAAGTATAATGTGTTTTGGCTTGTTTTCTGGTGTTCCCCTTTATGCTTGGTTGCCTTCATCGAAATGTGTCTGAAAACCTAAACTGCAGGAAACGCTCCAACCTCGAAGCATTAGCGACAAGTTATGTCACATTGTACAAAATGCTTTTTTTTTTTTTCGGGAAACACAAAGCAATGAGCAATAGTTAATACTTAAGACAAACTGCAATGATCTGCCATATGACAAATGTACCTTGTCGCATTAGGTACTGTCATTTTTTTGGTAGGCAGAACCTCGGCTGCTATCATTATGTCATGGACTAATAGACGCTGTAAAGAAAAATATGTTTTGACTTCACACCTTTGAAGAACACGGAAACAGCTAATCACGGTGGGTGACAGAATAGCCCCAGTCAATGACGAAGCTCACAACCGTATTATACCAAAATATGTGGCGTATTCAAGGAAACTGGGCTTGACATTTCACTTGCTCATCGTCAAAGCGACCATCCCATTTTTGGCGTCTAATCGTATTCAGAGTGGATATTCGCTGAGATGCTTTCATTGTTTCTTGATTGGCGGTCGCCGTGTTCTACTGGAAAGTAAACTCAGATACGCTTTAACGCGAAACATTTTTTTTGTCGTTATTTTGAATTTTGTAACGCAGTATTTTGTGAATCTGCATTGTGTGAAGCCACATTTTGTGAAGCCCTGGCATGAACCCCCCCCCCCCGCCCCTAGGCCGCATAGGCCATTGGGCCAGTATCATTGCGAATCACCTGGAAAAAGAGGGTAATGCTTGGCCCATTGTGTCCTCTCTGTAACCAATATTGGAAATGTCTTAGAAAAATGGGGCCATGATTGGCCCCCTTTATCCTCTCTATCACCAACATTAGGAATTCATTGCAATCTCATTGGATTAATTAGAAACAATTCCAATGTCGCCCAATACTGGAGTCATTGGCAACCCAACGGATAAATTGAATACCACTTCCAAGCAAGTTCCAATGGGGTTCCGATGTTGTTTTGAATTGCGCAGTCATTAGCACCACATTGGATAAATTGGACGTAACTTCCAATGAAGTGCCAATGGGCTCCCAGTGTAGTATAATATTGGTTAGTAATTGGCAAAAGATTGTATAAATTGAATGCTATTTCAAGTCAAGTGCCAATTGGCTTCAAATGTTCTCGAATTTGGGGCAGTTTCTGGCACCGCACTGAATTAATTAGAAACCACTTTCAGTAGAATGCTAAGAAGCTTCCAATGTTGCAAAATATTGGGTAGTCCTTGGCACCTTGCTGGATAGATACTACTTCCAATGAAGTGCCAATGGACTTCCAATTTTGTCAAATATTAGGCTGTCATTGGCACCCCACCAAATAAATTAGACACCACGCCCCATAGAGAGCTAACGCGCTTGCCACGTTGTTCAATATTAGGCAGTTATTTCTTCCACTTTAGATAAATCAATATACAGTTATAGGATGTTTCCAATGTTGGACAATATCGGTGTGTCATTGGCATTCATTTTAATAAATTAGATATCGTTTTCGATAAAGTTTTATTCGTTTCTATTCTCGCTCGCAATTGGGGAGTCATTTACATTTTATTTGATAATATACCCATGAAATTCAATAAGCAACCAAAGGCTTTTCGTAATTGCACAAAATTGGTAATTCACCGTATCTGTTGAATCGCTCTTTTGTATTGCCCCAAATGGCTGAACTATACTCGAATTTTGTTTGGTAACTTTGATAACTTAATGAAATATAATTGTAAGGTTACGAAATAATTTAAAATCACAAGCCAACCGGGATCTCGGTGTCTTAGCTTCCGTTCAACGTGCACGTGCAAAATATCAGAAATTGTTTGAAAAAAAAAAAATTAGTTTAACACGGTGCCATTATGGGAAAAATTTACTATGCTGCAGCGACGTTTCTCCGAAACATGTTTGGATCTCAAGGTCTTTGCTCTAACTTGTGACAAAATTAAGTAAGACGTTCTCTACGCCATCATATTTTGTCGGAGACTTGTGGCCTAAAGACAAAGAAAACTGCTCCGTAAGTGGATCCGAAACCGCGCTCTTCACCGCAGCGATCACGCGATTTGCACTAAATAATATTTTACCGGATTCTGCTAGCCAACCTAGATGCGCGTTTCATAGATTACCGCATTTTAATGTTCTCGAATAATTTCGAATTGCACGGCTTAGTTTGCGATGAAAAGCTGGCCAGCTTATGGGGTGGTTTATTTTTCGTGATTTATTTCGCATAAATATTAGTTTACTCGTCAAGGTGGGTAAAAGCAGGGACGCTCTTCAGAGCGCTTGTTTCGACACGAAAGCAATTTTTGCGCTGCTTGTTTCCGGGAGGGCGCTCCAAGGTGACGCTAACTCCCTGCGCTTTGGCGAGGCCCATTGTTATGCTTGAAATGTTCGCGAAGTTTCAAAAGAAAAGGTCAAAGGAGAAAAGGAGGTACATCGCGGAATGCGAAAGAGAGAAACTCTTATCTTCTTTTTCATCCTGCGATGTAAAGCAACGCACGCTACAAACCATCTTACCCAATCCAGTGCTCCGGGAGTGACACGTGACTTCCTCTTCGCGCGTCGCTCCACACAACCGTAATGCCACGTGACACCCTCTCATCTTTGGATCGGCTGCGGTGGGTCGTTGCGTCCGTTGCAGTCCATCATAAGGTGAAACGGAGTATAGATCGGAGGCAAAGAATCACCCTAGCCTTTAACAGAAGATGTTGCGCCGTACAAGCTGTGTTTGAGGACAAGCCACGTGTTTCACGCAGAACGCCAGCGTCCATCGAGTATAAGTATAACTTTGTGCGGAGTGGCGAATTACCAACAGAGACGGGTTAAACTTGTCTAATACATAAGACAGAGGCTACAAAGAGGGGAAAAACACACCAAGATGTCTCAACTGAGACATGTTGTGTTTGTCCCCTCTTCGTAGCCTCTGTTTTGGGCTTTTGAAATGTTTAACCTTAACCAGCTCGGCTGCCTAATTACATTATCTTCAGAGACGGGTTCTTCGAGGGACCTGTCTGCGATACTTCTGTGAATAACGTTGGCACGTGTCTCGGGTTCGGAAATTTATTTCGCCGATACAGTCCTTGTAATATCTAAGGATTCGCCTAAAATATTACATAAACTTTGTTCTTGCTCAATATTGTGATCACATCAATGAGATTCATTAGCATATTACGCTATTGTGCAACAAATAACTAATTTGCTGTAGCCTCATAAGATTTCTACGGCTATCATTTGTTGACGTTACTATCCATTAGATATGAGAATTATGTGGTTTCAGCTAGCGAGCAGGCCTTCGTCAGCTAAAACCAAGCGTTCGCGCTCGCAGCCTACGCAATCGCAATTTCTTCGCCTACAAGATTTCATACATTAAATGAGCGCTCAAAAAAGCGGCAGAGACACTTAAGAGACTGCTTACGTGTACGAATGCGAAAGCATTCCTACACGCAGCATATTCCTACAAGCAACGCTCCACGTCTTCCTTTTTCACAGAGCAGTCCAGCGGTGACATCATGCTCCCCCACTGCGCATGCGCGGCAAACCCCGCCGGCTTCACGCCGGCTTCCGTGACGATGCATCTGCGTTGCTTTGCTTTTCTTTGTGTTTTATTTCTGAGGCACGTTCGCTTCCACCTTCAGCGCCCCGCCGCTTCCACGACGAGGCATGTGCGTTGCTGCGCTTTTCTTTGTGGTTTATTTTTTCTGGGGCGCTAGCCTCTTTTGCAGCCAATGGGTATTTAGTTGCCGTTTCGCTCAGCCGATGGGTATTAATGTCCCGTTTTCTTTTTTTTTTTTTTTGCTTCTACACATCAGATAACGTTGGCTTCGCACCACGGGACAGTTAATGCTTTCGCATTAAAACTGGTTAGAACTGTTCTAACGAAATCAGTGGAGCAGAAAGTGCGCACTATTTTTTTTTTTAGAAAAGGTGAGAAGGGTATGAGGCATGCAAAAGAAGTGCAGATTGATTCCACGGTGCTTATATTCCTCACGAATCTCTACAATGCAGAGTATGGGACAAACTAGTGATATTGTTTTGCATAGTGATTCTTTTTGCTTGTACGGGAACTTGCGCATTACACGTGGAGAAGTTTAAAACCGCGAACTCACTCCCGTGCTCATTCTGAAGGAGCCTTATTGTGGATAAGGCGGCTTCTAACAACACCTCATGGAAAAAAAAAAGCCTATGTGCGTAATGTGCGTAAAAAAAGCCTCTGTGCGCACCGCGGGCCAGGGATTGAACACGACAACGACGTCATCGTTCAGCAAGGAGGCGCGTTCTCGCTGATTTGACACGAGTTCCAACCGAACAGTGACGCAGCACCCCTAGCCCGCAATTTTGCGCATTTTTTGAGCACGAACAAGGCACGGTGAATGTAACAGCGCACAAAAAGACGAGGACAGAGAAAAAGAACATGCCCAACACACAAGCGCTGACCCGCAACTGAATTTATACACAAAAAGACGAAGAGAACGTTCTGAAAGACAGGCATGGCACCCAGTGCGTGTCACACGCGACATGACACACCCGCAATTTTGCATTTTATTTTGAAAACGCATTTACAGGTGGTAATTGTTACCACTCAGGTCACACAAAGGATAATTCCGCCGCAATAATATACTTTATTCGAATCATCCAATTAAAAAACACGGCGTCATAAAAATGACGTGGAGAATTAATAAATTCGAGAATCTTTTCCAGTTCATTACTCTCAATAAAATATATCTTCGAAAAAAAAAATTTATAAAAAGTGGTATGTGTTAAAATGAGTTTGGGAGACGTTCTTCTAAAACCGTCTCCTATCTGTGGCCTATGATTTATGGCCTCCATTAGTGACGCAGGAAAATGCAGCACTTAGGCTTTCTTTTCTAGGAAGCTTTGTCTCTAACCGAGCTTGAGGTTGCCCGTAAAGAAAGATCCTCAGGTGGTCGAAATTCATCGCTAGTCCTATACCGGTACGCGCCAAATGCCCCTTGTTGATACGGAAGAACTCTGAACTACAGGTTTGCAGCAGTGCATTTGCATCTGTTGTCAGTATATCCTCTAGGTACTAATAAGTAGATCTGAGTGTCTCGTCTTGTCTTTGTTTTTCGCGATTAAACATGACGTGACCACGCACTTGTGTACCGATTTGATCGCTTCTAATTTTCGAGGTTATTTTGTGATTTCTTCCAATCTCTATTCACGACTCCAGCAAAACGGACGCCACCAAGCGGGAATACCGGGAACCAGCCGGAAAAGGTCGTTCTGCGCCCCTCCGCGTCTCTGGTGGCTTTCGCGGACACGTGTTGTCGGCGCGGTGGTGAACAATGTAAGCTGACGAAGGTCCGAAAATTTCTTAAGTTTGCTTGAGAGTTCATAAGTGTGGTGAAGCCTCAGTAGATTGTTTCCTTCTATCACGTGTTTGAAAGCCCGTTTACTGCACAATGCACGGTCGCGTGCCTACGATTTCTTGAATGGGGAGGAATCACGGAAAAACGTTTTAATTTCTTGTCTGTCTCGGATCACATTCAAAGTGACGACTGCTTAGTAACTGATAAATGGTTTCTTTATAAGGATGTAAAACAGTGGACTGAGGACGACAGACGAGGTGCTTCACTGGAGAGAACACCAATGTTGCAGTCAAGTTACTGGGAAGGTTCGATTGCTGCTTTCTTTAGTTTAGTTGTGTTCGATTAGCTTCAAGTTTAAACCACCCACGCCGGTCGGTGACGTTGGCTATCCATCTTGGCTGCTTTTCGCCGAAAAAGCCTCTGGACCACACCGAAGGAGTTTGGGCTGATTTCGCAGTTACTTGATTCCAAAAAGCCTGCTCGCTGCAAACGATTAATGAGGGAAATTCTCTGCTTTCAAAAGGTGGGGAACGAGTCTCGCAAAGTTAGAAGCTGTCACGACATTATAATCTATGGCGCCTCTCATATTTATATTATACCCCCGTCGAAGCCAGCAGCAATATACGTCTACATTGCTCAGGTTGACCGGCCACAAGAAATACTAATTTTCTCCGTTCAAGATTCGAAGTCAAGTTCAATGCAGAGAGGTTCTGCGTGAATCTCCGATGAAAACACTCTTCAGTTTATCCGCATTCGTCTCCCTGCTACCGGCTAGAACCGTTTGGCCGAGTTAAAGTATAGTATCTCTCTGTCTGTCAAGTATACTTTTATTCAGCAGTTCACCTAATAGCTAGTGCTCGACTAAGCTCATATTTCAACACGAAGAATATACTAATACCGCTTTAGTGGGACCATAGTACGTATTATAATACATAACCCACATATTCGTCAAAATGACTTCTCGACTGCTACTAAAACCATGAATTCAAACACGAGTATCAGCTGCTTAGTGGGGCGCCAGTGGGCTAACATGCTCCTTGGCTCAAGAAGCGCTTGCTTAATTTTCGTAATTTTCCTGCAGCCTGTGTTGCTGACCGAGCAGACGACTGGAGCTGTTTCTTAAACGCGGATACGCATAAAGGCTCGATTTCTCGGACAAATAAGTCGCATGAGGGAGGCATGCGAGTTAGCTGAAAATTACTTTTGGTGGAACAATTCTGTAGTCATTGCCGCTTTCCTTAGCTGATCAAGATTAGAGTCTATTACCGTCTCTCCGGAGCCCATAGTTTCGGTTCTGAACACAATCTCCGAAACGAAATTTTGTTATGAAAAGAACAAAAAACACCTGGAAAACAAAACTGTGGTCTGCAAGTTTTTGTGCATCGGATGCACTTGACCGTCGCAGTTCAAATAACTATAAAATTGGGCATTAAACAAGGAGAAATTTGTTAAAATAAATGCGCCACGCGTTCAGGCGACCCGGCCGAGCCGGTGCGACCTGTACCCAGCCGCCATGTTTGTTTGGTGGTGGCGCCCCCTATAGGTCGCTGGAGTCGCGAATAACTAACGATTGAACACATGTATGTTTTTGTTCAGATCTCATTCTTGTCCTTTTTGCACGCCGTCAAACTTGAATCCAATCAATCCAATATATGTGCCAACATTGGGCCAACACTGGTGAGCTGCCTGCGCCCTAAGGCAACGCGCGCAGGTTGGCATTAATCGACGTCACAGGCCTACACATCAATTTCGTTTTTCTCGCTAAATTTAGCGGGAAAGTTCAACTCTCGTACAGGTAACGTTACATCAGGTCCTGTGACATTAATGGTTCCGGAAATTTAGAGAGAAAATTAACGTCCCGTGGCCTACACACCGATTCAGTTTCTCCGCTAAATTTAGCGGGAAAATAGACGTCACCTGGCACGATGCCTTGCGAGCTCAACGGAAGTTTGGTTTCTCCTCAAAATTAAGCGAGTAAATTCACGTCACATGACCTACGCACCAAATCAATTTCCCTGCTAAATTCAGCGGAGAAATGGAATCTACGTGACGCGATGTCACGTGATCCTAGAACGTTTCTCGTATGCAGAACAAACTGCCTAGCAATTTGCCATTCCTCTTTTTTTTTAGCGTGTACCAACCGACCATTTGAGGAGCACAGTGTGTGAGCTTCTCAGTATCGAAACACAGAGTTGCGAGCATCTTCTCATTGCTCCGTTGCCATTGCTGAACGTGGCATTAGCCCAAAACAGTGGTAAAGAATAAATCGCGAGGTAAAATGCGCGAACGAGAGCAGCGACGCTCTGCGTTTCTTAAGATGTCAATGACTATATAGCAAATATTTTTTTTCCAAGGCTAAATAGCTTTTATCGTCACACTGGGTATCACTCAAATATTTTGGGTGTGTTAAAATGTTTCCTTTGAGTTTCACATATATGTTGCCAGACTCACAGACTCTCGTCATCATGACGTTTCTCGTGCTGTATCCTGTTGACGGGACGACAGCATAAGATTTGTTGAAGAAAAATCTGCAAAACAAAAACAAAACAAAAAAGTGGTGTCCAGCTACGCCCATGTTTTACCTCTGTTTTATCTACTCCTGCAAGTAATAGACTTTTTCTTTTTGTTTATTCTCGTTTCCAGCCGCATACTAGGCGGCTGGAGACGAGACATACCTGAGAGAGAGCCTAGTAGGCTCTCGCTCTAGTATGAGCAGAGAGCAACACTAACAACAATACATTTAGCGTGTAAGGTGGCTCTTTTTAAAATAACTTAGCAGGGGATGAGTTCTTATTCACTTCTAGAAGATTGTTCTAGTTCTCGATAATACGCGAGAGTGAAATGTAAAAGTGTCGTTTCGACATACGAAATTCGCCAATTTGAGAGCAAACGTCGTTTTTCTGTTGTCACCGCAGTGTAATTCTACAATTCGCTATTGTCAAAAATATCACAAACAAACATCACGCATTAGACACTTTTGAGGAGAATAAAAGAAAAGCGCCATTGTTTTAACATGTGTTAAGAATCAGCTTTCCTACATGATGAAACAATTGACAGAAATTCGCTTACTTACGTTTTCTGACTCGTTTTGTCATAAGACGTGATGCGATGAATCACGGTATGTTTTGAATCATCTTGTTGAATCTTATTCACAGTAACGCAACCCCTGTTATTCAGTCCTTGTTCGTCGGTGTTGAAGTTTCTGTACCTCATCACCAAAGTTTCATTGCTCGTAACAAACTAAAAGAAAAAAATATTATTAACAAAAAATAAATAAAAGGAAGTGTTTCATTCTTGTACGCAACCAGTTACAAGTAACTTATTGCGTGGGATCAATTACATTATATTGGATCGTTTTAAAGCTTAAATTATTTTTCTTTCTGTCATAACGTGTGTTGTATTTCGAATACTATTTTCTATGATCGCTTAAAAGTAATCAATTATGTGCTTCCGAACGTGCTAAAAGTATTGAGTTTATTCTTTTACGTAAAAACACGCTTTGCCTGCCCGTGCGTCACTCGACCCTGTTGTAACGATGTTCGACACTTTTTTTTACCCCTCAGCCACTAAAAAAAGATACCAAGATACCAGAAGTATTAGACTGTGAGCGCGCTCAACGAAGTTTGGGCTATCGAGCCGTCGAGAATGCCAGGTTTACTGTGCACGGGTTGTTATTATTCATGTTTGCCGCGGCATTGACGACTGTGTTTTGCCCTGACCTCATCTAGCCACTACAAAGCCCCCACCCACTTCCGTTTCAAAACAGTTCACCAGCGAGTCCTTGCACAGAGCGTACTCTACTGCATGTCCCAAATAGCAGCCAGGCTCTTTAAATCGACCGTAAAAATCGCGTTCTTAGCTTGTCGCGTTTCGAGTTCGTGCAGCGTTAGCCACAGGTGGTGTATTTGTTCTGTATAAAATTCGCAAAGAGCGAACTTAAGCTGAGGAAAAAGTAAAGAAAGAAAAAGGCCTAACTCCTAAGAAAACGCAGCGAAGACACCGGTCTTCAAACCACAGGGTGCCCTATTGTTTAAAGACCGGTGGCTTCGCTGCGTTTCCATAGGAGTTAAGCGTGTTTCTTTTTTTTTTCTCCTCGAATAAGTTCGCTCTTTTCGAATATTATAGAAAAAATGCGCCACCTGTGGCTAACGTTGTACAAACTTAGAGGCTCCGGGAAATCCGTGCACGGACGATTTTTTTTTTTCCAGATTTTTCACTGCGTTCACCTGAAGCAGTTTTGGACAGGCGGTTGCAAAAGCGAAGCGCTTCGCTCCTAGACGACTCGGAAGTGTCCGTCGAAGCACAGCGCAACCACGAGCTGTTGCGCAAAGTGTTTGAAGCGCTACAACGCCGCTCTTTCCTCAAGCGCATCCGACAAGAGGGTCTTCAGCGTCGCGGCAGATATCTTCACCAGGAAACGTGGGAAGATGACTGATGATAACATCGAACAACAACTCCCGTTGAAGCTTAACAGGGTGTGAATGACAAAAAAAAGAAGGGAAAACACTTTGAACATATGTATGCGTTTCTGATTTCGTGAAAAAGAAAGGTAAAAAAGTAACGTGAAGAGTAATCAATTACTTCGGGATAAAGTTTCAATTACTTTTGTAATACTGTAATTGATTACTCTGATCAGTTACATTTTTCAATAAAGTCATTGTAATTGTAATCAATACTTTCTTCCATTACGCGTACAAGACTGACGTGTTCTAAGGCTATAAGTTCTTTGCTAAATTGAATTCAGCTGGTGAACTGTGCACCAGCTGCCTTGGCCGCTTATGAATGACTATATATGCACACATCATGTTGGTATCCAGCTACTTTATGGCATGCACCAATTCCAACACATAAACGCTTTACCCGCAACGTGTAATGAGGACACACAATTTCGACAGGTTTTCCAGAAGCGTAGCGAGAACCATTTTCTTTCAATTCCATGAACAACACGCACCTAAACATGGCGTAGACTAAAAAAAAAGTATTGCAAAAGTTTCAAATCCTCCAACAGCTTTTCAGAAAACTCATTGCACTCGATTTGCTTCAAAAATAAATTATTCTAATTATAAGATTCGATAGCAAAAGAAAGGCGGAATGTCGCGGGTCGGCCAATGTCTTTTTATATCGACCAGCAGCTGATTAAATTGCGAATTTAGCAAATAAGAATGCCCAAGAAACATTCGCCAGGCAAGACTCGTTATCGGGGAAAATAGAAGGGAATATCTCTGCCGTGAAAGCCATCGCAAAACAGCTTACCTCCCACGCATTCTGATGCGACTGTAGAGCAGGAATTATCTCCGGATAGTTGAAAGCCGGAAGAGGCTCCGGCGTCGTCCAAGCAAAGCTTTCTGTCAAGAAGGATCCAAGTGCCAACGCTGTGAGCAGCAACATGATTCTATCGCAGATTTAATGAGCCTAATGCGCGATTAAATTGCAGTCATCGGTCGGAAGAAAGTAACTTTCTACTAGGTATCATGTGTGCCGTACAACCTCTGGTGACTTCCTCCGAAACACTATTACTAGATACTTAAAAATCTTTTCTACCAATTCACCACTTGCCGTGTTCATGCGTCACCGGATTACGCTTGATGCGTCACTCTTTCCCGTTGTAAGTGATGGCATAAGGAATGTTTACGCTAAAAAACACCCAGCTTGCAGCGCTTACGTTGGTTGAATGACGCGGCAAAATGTTATTAGTTGCGAGTAGAAGACTTCATTGTGCAGGTCGAACTTCACACTTGACCACAGTAGATATATAATAGCCAGAATCGCAGAATAACCTTTAGAGAAAGTTACGGCGGCGGGAGGGGGGGGGGGGGAGTATTTGTTGCCGATCCTCATTATCAGGTTAGAGCTCCACGTTAAATAGAAAACGAGTCTCTTGTTTGAATCAATTTAAGCAAAACACCGGTCACTGAATAGAAAAGAAAGGCTCCATTGATGGATTGTGCCATGTGGAGAAAGACTTAGTATGCGCTTCAAGGACCCCCTATATATACGAAGGCTGCTTCGGCAATTGCTTGTTGTGACCGCGAACTGCTGTTCGAATACTTTGCCTTAATTTTTAGTTCTAGTGCAATTGAAGAGTTCTCTCAAGGGTGCAATATCCTATAATAAGGCTGGGAAAGAAAAAACTCGTACGCCTACGCGAAGATATTCAAATTTGAAGGTTAAAAAACAGAAGGGGCTGTGGAGACCGCCGTCGGAAGCTATATTTGGACACAGGGCTATAGCTTCCTGGACGCCATTAAAGGAGTTAAAGGTTTGCTTTTTGTCATCCGCTTTACCAACTTGTATTTTCACCGTATGATGGAACGTGTGTTTTACAGTGAGCGGTAAGCGCACATTTGCAACGCTCTCCTCGATTGTGCTTCAATTGCATTCAAACTGCGCAGGGAAAGATAAAAAGCGGAGGCAAGCGGAAACTGCAGCCACGTGTTATACAGTTAAAAAAAAAATTCGGTGCAGAAACTCTGCGGCTTATTCAATAGGCAGCGAGCTCAATGCTGCGAGTTAAATGCTTAACCTTCAAAGAAAGAAGTCACGATACCTCCGGAAAGGTCAGGACGTAAAGGTCAAAAATGAACGCTGCTTATATACCGACTGCAGAGGCGAATAACGCTATCAAGTGTGGACGTTGTATTTGCGAATTTCGAAAGAAAAAATCAAAAGAAGCTTCTTGCACTTTTCTGCAGTGGCAGAAAATAAATGGAGAGGACAACGTGCACAAGATGTCGAGAGTCGAGACGGCTCTGACGGCAGCCCACTGCCAAACCCGCTCACAAAAAATGGTGTTAATATGCTTATGTGTCCTTACTCTATAATACTAAGCTCGCCATAGAAGCGAAAATCTAAAATTCTCCAAAATGCCACCATAGAGCTCTTCTTTGGCGTGATTCTTATAATTCTAGCAATGGGCATGAAAGGTCTACATCACCCAAACGGCAAAAAGCCTTTACCATTTAGGTTTCCACGTAATCACACTACGGCAAAGCGCGGTTGATGAATGGACAACTATTACGCAGCTCTGAAATACCGTTAGACTAATACTTATTTGATCCAATTACTGCATCATCTCAAGCTCGACATCGGGCTCGGGAGGAATTGCAGTGTCTGCGCCTAGGTTGGTGCTGTGTAACTTGATTGGCTTTGCGGTTTGTGTGTGATAATATAAATATATATGTAAAAGTGTATATTATTTTTGTGCACATTTTGCATTTTATTACGTTGTGTCACATTACAGACGATTGCTCTTTGTGTACTCAGAAAAAAGAGGCTGTTATGATGATGATGGCTAAATTGTACATTTACAACAATGAATGGATAGGGTGTTTAATACAAAATCTACAATGCTTGAGGGTTACTTATAATCAACTCATTGCCTGGATTGGAACATACGCTGAGAAATGGCGTGGACACGCTTTTTGGGTCGATGCCATTAACACGGCACAAGTTGACGCCATCATTGTTTAAAAAACAATAACCCTATAATGGACACCAACATCACCGGGTCTCGTTTAGTAAACAACCAGACTCCTTGATTCGCTTAAGCAACGCAAATTTCCTACGAAGTCAGCGCCCTCAATATAAATTTATTCTAACATCTCCAGAAATTAACCAGCGTGCAGAGTTCCGAGAATCGCATTATAACTTTGAAGACAGCGAGAGTACTGTGTTAACCGAGCGAAAAACGAATCGGGAAGCAAAATGCGAGACGATAATAAACAAGGCCCCACGTTTCCTCAGCTTTAGGTGTCTGTAGGAATCCCCGGCGATATACTGTTACTGGCCACGTTTACATGAATCCGACCGAAGAGCATCGTATCGCATTTGCAGATGGGCTTACCATAGTCAGTGCACAACTTAAAAATAACAGCGTAGCATTACACGAATTAAGTATCCGAATGATTGAACAAGTTTTGTTGGCGAGTATATAGAAGAAACATGGCGACATTTTCTACAAACAGCAAAAGTAATGTCTGCACAATGAGCAGTTCAGTAGTTTACCGGTAACGTGTATGTAATAAAATTATTAAAGGCAAAAAGAAGTAAAGAGCAAAAAATATTTTTGTATTCATAAGTTGATAATTGCGTTGTGTGCATGGTATATTCACCAGAAATAAGTTTTAACGTACTCATTAGCGTTTCGTTTAACATACTACTAATAAAGAGCATTTGAGGGTACTATATTCGATTCCCGCAGTCGAAATAGCACTTTCTCAATATGAAATGTTCGATATTTATTTTAAGTATTCTTTTCTGTGCCCGCTGAAAATACGTATCTAATAAAACATTTAGGACAGGATTAATTGCTCATTTCGTTCATCATAAGGATTACCACGCAACGTCCCGGTATAATAAAATACATTTACGTTCATATGACACGTCGTTTAAGCCACAGCCATAAAACTCCCCTCCAGTATAATTATTATTTAAAGAATTGATTTATTTATTTATGCATTTATTTATGCATTTATTTATTTATGTATTTATGTATTTATTTATTTATTTTTTATTTATTAAACTTCAAATGCCCCAAATAAGGGGCATTACATGAAGGTAGTACGAAACATCAAACAATTTCTTCGTTGAATGCCTTGAAATGGGCAGGGTTGGAGTGGAGCACGGCGTCGCTGGGCAGATCGTTCCAATCCTTTGCTGTCTGGCAGAAAGATAAAAAAGAGGCCCCATCTCCACGTGGTGAATGATGTTGATTGGGGCGAAGCTCTGGTGGTGCGATTGATACTGATTTTATTGTGTATAGGTTGTGCTCATGGTGCTGATTTTTTCATTGCTCATAGGTAGTGCTGAGTTCGGGGTTGCGTTTCGACTTCATTATTACGCTTTATGGCCGGTGAAATTCAGAGCCTTCTAGCGGACCAGCTTCTAGCGGACCAGCTTGGATCCGCTAGAAGCCGTGGGAACGAATCTCCACCGCTTAAGTCAACGGTTCATGTCAGATAGAGAATGTGTGGTATCGATCGTGGTTATATACGCATTTGAGCATTTGACCGCAGCGTACATGGATGAAAAGTACGAAAGGCTCGGCATGCTGCGGCTTAGCGTCTACGCAGACAAGCACCCACCAGAGCTTCGCCCCAATCAACATCATTCACCACGCGGAGATGCGTTTTTTTCTTTTTTTTTTTTTCAATCTTTCTCGCTCATTAAAATTTCTTTCTTGAAATAATAGCGACGGTTTGCGGAGTGGTATTAGTTGTTTAGCCTGCATAAATAAAAAGATTCCGACGGTTCTTGCCAACTGTCAATCACAAAAATGTTACGGGTGATGACACTGGTCGCGCGTTTCCGGCACACTTTGTCGCCACCGGAGATTGAGCTGTTTTTGCCTGATTGATTTAAAATATAGTAAAATTTGATGCGATGCTATTTCGTGACCACTACTTGTTTCTTGCGTAATCCGTACTACTAATCATGTAATAATATAAATAGGTTAGGCGCTCAAATATCGTTAGGGGGCCCTTTTAAGATATGCGCTTATAGAGTAGAAAAAAATATGTAGGATATTTAAAAATGCATGGCGGGCTAATTAAAAGAGTGGTCGCACCCGGTTTACACTAAAAATATTTCACCTATTCGGAAATTTTTGTGCAGCCATAGCGGCCGGAAAATATTACGTTCCATCCATCCTGTTAAATATTGAGTGGAGGATTTACATATGTTTTGTTTATTGTGGAAACTTCCTCCTGCGTCATCGAAGAAATCCGTTGTGATATTAATAATCCCGGTGTGAGCGCTAACTACATGTTGCTTTTCCTCCGTCAGCATAAAACGTCTTAAAACTTTACTAAAATAAAACATCGAGTCGGGGTGAAAAACACTAAAGGGGCGTTTGACGTTCGAATTTCCGGCAGCAAAATTGGAAAAAGAGAAACGAAAGAGGCATCAACACGAGCGCGCCTCTTTGTAGTATCAGGCACATTATAAACATCGCGTGAGCTTCTGAGAAAGTTGCGAGAAGCTATCAAGGAAAAGCGCAAAGGGAAGCTCACGAAAGGCGTCAGCCTGCTTCATGATAATGCCCAGGCTCAATCGGCAGAAGCGAGGTTTTCACACGCAGCCTCTTTAGGTTACGAAATTTTGCGTCATTCCCCCTATTCACCCGACCTCGTACCTACTACTTCATCTTCCCTGGCGTGAAGGCTCCACTGTGCGGAAAGCATTTGAAAGACGACGACCAAGAGAATGCTGAAGTGGTGCGATTCTTAAATACTTTAAACGAGGAGTTCTGTAACAATGGCCTCCGGCACGTTGTCCATTGCTGGGGAAAATGCGGGACTTTGATTGGTGAATATGTAGGAAAATGCTAAAATCCTACCCGAGTTGCCACTGCTGAAACTCTATTCCTTCCTTACAATAACACGAACTTT